CAGAATCATCCAGTGAAAACCCAGCAAGTCACAATGATCTATAACTCGTCATCTGGATGATAGTGAAGGACTGACAGCCTTTTCTTCTATTGTGCATGGGGTTGCTATGAGCCAGCAGCTGACTGGACAGCAGCTAACTACAACAGGCCACATGCCATCTGAGGCAGAGAATGAATTCCATGCAGTCCTATGCTTTTGCATCTGGATGGGACTTATTCTCATCTCTCTACCCAATGGATGAAGGCCATGGAGGAGTTTTAGACTGGAAAGTGACAATGACTTCTTCAGAGGGCACACAGTTTGGACAGTGCAGAAGTGGGACATTACTTGGTGGTCCAGTCATTGAAAGATATAAGACTGGAGATTTCAGCCTCATCACACAATTTCTATTTCCTCAGAACACTAAATATTTTCCAGGTTAGTGCTTTCACTTTGCAATCTACTTTAACTGTAGGACCATATAAAGGCATGGAGAACGGGGAAGATGGGGAAAGCTATGCTTTTTCTGATTTCCCGATCAGCACCACTGTTTATTTCTAAAACATTTTCATCATCCCAATCAGAAACCATGACCCCAGTCCCTGTTGTTGTTGTTAGGTGCTGTTGAGTTGGCACCCACTCATGGTGACACAATAGAATGAAACTCTGTCCGGTCCTGGGCCAACCTCACAATCGTTGTGAAACCTGAGACTATTGCTGTCGCCACTGTGTTAATCCATCTTGTTGGGGTCTTACTCTTTTTCTCTGACCCTCCACTTTGCCAAACATCATATCCATTCCCAGGGACTGGCCCCTCCTGATAATATGTCTGAAGTATAAGAGATGAAGTCTGCCCATCCTGGCTTCCAAGGACACTCTGGCTGTACTTCTTCCAACACAGATTGGTTTGTTCTTTTGGCAGTCCATAGTACTTTTATTATTCTCCTCCCACAGCATAACTCAAATGCATAAATTCTTCTATGGTCTACTATACAACTTTCACACGCATATGGTGTTATTGAAAATACCATGGCTTCGATCAGGCGCATCTTAGTGCTTAAACTGACATCTTTGCTCTTGAATACTTTAAGGAGATATTGTGCAGCAGATTTGCCTAATGCAATATGTTGTTTGATTTCTTGACTGCTGCTTCAGTGAGTGCTGATGGGTGAGCTGAGCAAAACGTCTTAGATAACTTCAATTTTTTTCTCCATTGACATATGGATGTTGTTTCTTGGTTCAGTGGTGAGGTTTTTTGTTTTCTTCACATTGAGATGCAACCCATATTGAAGGCTTTGATCATCATTGGTAAGTATTTTAAGTCCTTTCAGCAAGCAAATTTTTATCATCTGTACATCTCAGGTTGTTTTAGAGTCTTCCTCCAATCCTGACATCATATTTTTCTTCATATAACCCAGCTTCTCAATTTATTTGCTCAGCTCACTGATTGAGTAAGTGTGGTGAAAAGAATACAACCCTGGCACATGCCTTGCCTAATTTTAAACCATTTGGTGTTCCCTTGTTCTGTTCAAACAACTACTTGGTAACCACTATTAATTTTTATCTCTTTATATTTGCATGTTCAGGTATTTTATATATGTGGGATCAAACAATATTTTTGTCCTTTTATGCCTGATTAATTTCACTCAGATTAATGATTTTAAGCTTCATCTATGTTGTAGCCTGTATCAGAACTTTTATGCTTTAATTATATTCATATATATATCGCAGTTCGAAACTACCAGCTGCTCAGCGGGAGAAAGATGAGGTGATCTGCTCCCGTAAAGATTTACAGCCTCGGAAACCCTGTTCAGGGTCGCTATGGGTCGAAACCTGCTCGCTGGCACTTAACAACAACAACAACATATATATATATACATATACACACCCACTAAGGAGCTCTGGTAGTGTAGTGGTTATGAATTGGGCTGCTAATCTCAGGGTCAGCAGTTCGAAACTACCAGCTCTTCTACGGGAGAGAGATGAGGCTTTCTGTTCCCATAAAGATTTACAGTCTCGGAAACCCTATGCAGGGTCGCTATGATTCAGAACCGACTCCATGGCACATAACAAAAACAACATATATATACACCACAATATGTTTTTCTGTTGATGGACATTTGAATTCTTTCCACCTTTTGTCTACTGTGAATAATGCAGTGACCAGTAGTCATTACAGCATTATTCTGTTGGCATCTGCTGGACTCCCTGTTTTCAGTTCTTTTGGGTACATGCCTACGAGCGAAATTTCTGGGTCATATGGTAAGTCTATGTTTAACTTTTTAAGGAACTGCCAAATAATTTGCCATAGTGGTTGTACCCTTTCACCTTCCTATTAACAATGGATAAGGATTCCAATTTCTTCACATCATTGCCAACACCTTTAATTTTAATTTTTTTTTATAATAGCCATCTAACTGTGTGTGAAGTGGTATCTTCTTGTGGTTTTGATTTTCAATTTCCAAATGACCAGTTACCTCTGGGTGGTAGTTCAAAGCTAACCAGAGGCATCTGCTTCTGAAAGTTTATAGCCCTGAAACCCTGTGGGGTGCAGTTCTGTTCTGCATACATGGGGCCACCATGAGGTGAATTGATCATTTGTATCTTTTCTCTGGAGAAATGTTTATTCAAGTCCGTTGATCATTTTTACTTTTTGGTTTCATTCAAAACATGTATTACCAATGAAAATGGACTGTTTAAATTGGCATTCACTTTAATAACTTGAAACCCCAGTTATAAGCAGTATATAAGCAGAGAGTTTATGAGTAACCAGAGTCTACAAGCAAATTTCTGTTCACAAACATCATATGTACAGATACATGAATTGCAAGTATGCCAATTATGGCCAATTGTAAGTGTGCATCTAGAATTATGGCCAACTGTTTTAAAATATTGCAGAAATGTAAAATCACATCATGAAAATACGAAGAGAGGGTCTATACACTTCAAAATCAAGTGGTTCTTATCCCAGAGATATATGACAGCTACGGGATTCAACTGAAAAGCAATAAGATTTCAAGAAATGAATACTGTCTTTTAACCATTTAAAAATTACGCTATCACCTTTTGGCTCTCTGAGCAGCACCATGGCGGTTGGCAAGAACAAGCGCCTTACAAAAGGTGGCAAAAAAGGAGCCAAGAAGAAAGTGGTTGATCCATTTTCTAAGAAAGATTGGTATAATGTAAAGGCACCAGCTATGTTCAATATAAGAAATATTGGGAAAACACTCCTGACAAGGACTCGAGGAACCAAAATTGTGTCAGATGAGCTCAAAGGTCGTATTTTTGAACTGAGTCTTGCTGATCTGCAGAACGATGAAGTTGCATTTAGAAAATTCAAGCTAATTACTGAGGATGCTCAGGGCAAAAACTGCTTGACCAACTTCCATGGCATGGATCTTACCCGTGACAAAATGTGCTCCATGGTCAAAAAGTGGCAGACCATGATTGAAGCTCATGTTGATGTCAAGACTACAGATGGTCATTTACTTCTCCTGTTCTCTGTTGGTTTTACTAAAAAATGCAACAACCAGATTCGGAAGACATCTTATGCTCAGCATCAATAGGTCTGTCAAATCCAGAAGAAAATGATGGAAATCATGACCCAAGAGGCGCAGACAAATGACTTGAAAGAAGTGGTCAATGAATTGATTCCAGACAGCATTGGAAAGGACATAGAG